TAAGGGGGTGAACAAATATATTACCGGTGGCGGGGAGCTGACGATATGGGGAAGGAAACTTCCTGCTGCTAAATTTTTTATTCGGAATTAGGAACTGGGAGGGAGCAAGATCTCCCAACTTATTAGGATGGAGGGGGTATGTTTTGGTTTATCCCAAAAGTGTTTTGAAAACTAAAGGGGTACTGAGGATGGGATAGAAGCGAGATCGAGAGACCGATCGAGATCGAGCCATTCATGCCAGGAGCAGGTGGAGTGGTGGAGCTATTCGAGCCAGACAAACAGCGACCGAGCGACGCGGCCGGCTATGGCGTCGAGCATTCGTCGGGCAAGCGTGAGGCGTGGTTGGGCGCTGCCGAGACAAGGACGCGGGAGATACCAAAGGAGTTTTGAAACGCGCGAGTCGTTGGAGGCGACTCGGGGTGACACGGGCGGCGATCCCGCTCCCCCCAGCGGTGCTGCCGCGGCGACGACGTGGGTGCTAGTGCGGCGGGGTCCCTATGGCGCCCCGGCGTCCCCTGCCCCGGCGCGCTTCCCTGGGGCGGGTCGTGCAGGCTGCGGTGGTTGGTTCTGGGCTTTGTCGGAGGATGTGTCCAACGAGGAGGATGAGATTTCCTCATCGCGGCTGGCTCCTCCTCCGACGGGGGCGACGCTGGGCGGTTTCGTGCTAGCGGCGACACAAGGCGGGGCTGGTCGGGGAGACCGCCGCCGCCGTTTTGCCCGGGTGGAGGCGGTTCGCGGGCGACAACGGTGCGCTGCTGGAGGCCAGAGGCGCAAATGGACTCGGGCGCTCGGGGGGCACGGCTGGCGTCCCCGCTGTCTCCCCGGCGTTCTGTGCCCGCAGTGGCTCCGGTGACGCCCGAGGAGTGGCTGCTCTCCCTGCCCTCCCCTCGACGGCGTCGATGGTGGCGGCGGCGGAGCGGGTGGCTGAGGTGGCTGACGCGCTAGGGTTGGCGTTGTCTGCCCCTTCCTTGGGCCTGCTGGGGGCCTCTTGGCCTGGGCCAGCCCCGCTCTGTCCTCTGGTCGTCGGGCCTCCTGGTGTGGGGCCCTTGGCGTCTGCGGGGGGGCCTTCGGGTTCATGTGCTGGGCCTGGCCCTGACAGCCCACGCGGTCGGCCTGCCCTGGGAGGGGCCCGAAAGCCCGCTTGCCAGCGCTATATATGGCTGTGCAGGGGCCTTCGCGGCCCCTCTCTAGGGTTTCCTGCTCGCCCCAGTGAGGTGCGGCGCCATCGTCTCTCCGTCAGATCTCTCGTTCCCATCCCCCCTCCTCCCCCTCTCACTCTGTCCTTTGCCGAGGCGACGACCATGGGTGACAAGCGCGCAAACAAGCGCCCGATGGAGCCTCCGCTCTTCGAGGAGGAATGGCGGCGTGAGAAGGCCCTACGGGAGCAGGCGAAGCGTGGCCAGCGGGCCAAGGCGGCTGGGCGTGCGGACGGCGGAGGTGGTTTTGAGCATGGCCAAGA